AGCGTCTCAAGAAGAACAGACCGATCAACCGAGTCGAATGCGCCTCGGAAATCCAGGAATACTAGAATCGTGGGTCGCTTATACGTATGGCGTTGTTCTAACACCTGACGCAGTGTGAAGATTTGGTCAACACAACCCCTACCAGGCCGGAATCCCGCTTGCTGCTCTCGGGTCAGCATCTCACGAGCCACCGTAGGGCGACGAAGCACAATTGACGCCAACAGTCTTGTTACAACCGGGGTCAAGCTGATCCCCCTGTGGTTACCACACTCACTACCAAATGTAGTGATTGTAATCACCTAAAACAAGAGTCGAGTGATGCTGGGAAATCTATTTGTGCCAATCTCTCAAGTCAGTTGACGGTACTCCCTCATTACGATACTATTGAAGCCGGTTAGCCTACTTGATTGGAGTGAAATAGACCTGGAAGATAGTAAGGAAGGTCTTATTTTTTTAACATTATCATGCATATTAAATGCTTTTGGAGTCGCACAGGGTTCAACACTATTAAACTGTATGCCGCGGCCAAATTCAGCCATACAGAGATAACGGTGCGCAAACTCCGAGACGACTGTTCTAATCGGTACTGCTGTAAACCAGTTACGGTGTACTGGATACCGTTGACATCAACATAAACAAACCACCCATCAAAACCCAAACGGTTACGTCCGAAGCAACAAACGATACATCGTAACATACTGTATGGTTGTCCGCAGTAGCTTGCTGAGTGTAATAGTCCACAACAGCATCCACATAGATCTCAGTTAGTTTCTTTCCTTCGCCTTTAGTAACACGGCACCAAGTTTCTTGACTGTAGAGTCTCACACCTTCAGCAACATAGTACCGATTTAGACACATGGCTGGTAGCAGTATGGGATAAACATCAGTCCAGCTGTGCTCGGGAGGAGGAGGTACTTCGAAGAATGTACGGACCGCGCGGGAAGCAGCCATTCGGACCTAGGATGTGAAACATGAAAGAAAAGAGAGGACCAAAACCTTGATATGAAGCGGCTCATATGATTATTATTTGTGAACATTTCGCTGAAAATTGAAACCAGTCGAGGCAACGCTCATCGGATCTTCGGGGAATAAGTCAAGGGAAGACTAAACAACTGGAATAAGCCACAAAGAACTGAATGCAGAGTTTCCATAGTCAGGTAGCCATAATCAGCCACACATATTCCACTGTGACGACGGCCAGCCAATTATCACGTATCATATTGTTTTATTGTAGTAACAACTGGAGGAACCAGCATAATCGCCTACGTACGGTCACTGGACAGCTGGAGAACAATTCTGTCGATACGATGGACAGTAGCGTCAGCTGGTCCGGTGCTCTTATTTGCCCGGAGAAGAGATATGCAGAAGTGCCTCCATAACGGAGGGGTCTTCTTGTGGATCAGTCCAGTAGAAAGCGTATTACACTCCTTCACGGGAATGCTAGAATTCCGTTTACAACCGGTTGCTCCAAACAGTCACCTTGAGGGTAGGATAGAATTTTCCGTCCCATCTGAGATTCAGATATTCAGTACTTTTGCGTTCCTAAGTGGCATAGTGGTGCGACACAGAAAAGCCATTTAATGGCCATTAGACCTCATCACTTAGGTCAGTAGGAACAAGTGGGTGTTTTCTCAGAGCTGAACCCGGATAAAAGCTATCATACAAGACAATTTATCACGAAGTTACGATCCCATACAACAACTGAAACAACAGCGGTCATTGGGAAGGCCCTATCATAAGCAACGACCAACACGCCTTCCAAAACGAAATGATGTTAGTAAATTAAAAGGATAACTAAGATGCACACAATAGGCGAAACAGTAACTAGAACGCACACCCTATAAAGATCAATCACTCTCGAAATGAAAGATTTTTATCAGTACTTAAGCCATACATTATGAGAGCATTTGAGTGGGTCTATCGTTGCTCACCTTAGACTGTTTAAAAAAACTGCGGGGATCCAGCACAGGAAAGCAGAGTCAGAAATAGTCGTGACGCGGACCGGACCACCTTGCTAAGGGTTATGGCGTCAGTCATTAGTGTTTTCTCTAAAAACCACATGAAAGCTTGTCTAGGCTTGAGAGTTGTAGTTGAGTGAATGGTGAGGCTGAGATGGAAGTCGCATTTTTACTTATGCGTTCAGCTGTAGCACCCTTTCGGAGCCTAACTGTCATGCCACCCGAAGGTTGCACGAGGGCTATGAGACTGCCAGGTTGCCCAAGCCTAGACACGGGAAGTCGAGAGGCAGAGGTCGGGTTCGAACCACGGAACTTCCGGTTGTGTTTGATAATGAATCTAGGTAAGCAGAATTGAGCTATTCCAGTGGAAATCATCCACTTGGGGAGCTAGAAACCTATGCGGGAACCCCATCGATCCCGAGGGTTTGTTTCCAAGGAAAGAACAATTTTGTGCCTCCAAAATTTCCATCGCGGTAGGAGTTTCTCCTTGTAACCACTGCGGCACTCTGTAGGAGGACAGGTGGTTAAAGTGCCGTCAAAAAGTTTCTTCAAGAAGTTAGTTGTTAGGTGTCCCAGGTTGTAGACAGCTGACAATATCGTCCCCAAAGGTACCACTACCCAACTCATGGGAGCTACATGTGGTTAGTCAGGGGTTCCCAATTTGGGCTGAGAAATTTTCTATTGCATTAAGACGTGAGGGCGTTCACCTGTTCAGACGTGTGCTGGTGTAGTAGTGGCAACAGGCTCATTTCAAATGTCAGATGAACGGTGTTCAGACCCGAAACGACCGAGGGCATGCACCAGGAATGATACTCAACAAGAAACTCCAGTCCAGCACCTCCATTTTTGAGGGCCAACCAGAATATATATGTCAGGATAGGAACAGGACTGTTCATAATAGTGATGTGAAAACAAATTCTGCAGATCCATCAGCGATATGCGGCAAACGACCACAAAGAAGGCTCACCTGACACCAGTTGTCCGATAGACCCTTCAATATTTCAATTAATTGTCTTCTGTTTCATCCGGATTTTTGTAGCAGCCATGACCATGTATCACGGTTGTCAAAACTTCGTAGCCGGTTTCACGAACAAATCTGTTTACGTGATCTGTCGCTTTGAAAACAAGATCAAGAATTTGTGAACGGTCGATTTGGACAAAGTCCTCCGGTTTCAGACTGACTACCATTTCCTGCAAGCATTTCATCCACGTTTCCAAATTCTTCCATCCAGCGGTATCATGAAAAACCGACAGGGAACTGCGGCTCATGTTAACATCGCGCTCCTGGGTAAAGGAAAGGAACCATATTTCATTAATACACTGAAACGCCGAATTAGGGCCACAAAGTAGGGCCTGTAAAACATGAGAGTTCACACTCGCTTAGCTTATCAAGTTTACCGACTGGCAACGGTCTCCAGTTAGAAACATGGAAACAAAATGAATAAGTTTCGCTTTCCCAGTTCCTGATAAGATTTTAGTATGAGGAAAGATAGCGTGGTGGATGAACAGTGCATCATGGCCAGTCATATTAAGATTTACAGGGAAATGTTTGTATACCAAATCATCATCAAAGACAGTAACATCAGTGTTGGCACTGACGCTTCACTGCAGTACAACTATAAGGTTCGTTTAGTTTATATATATA